GTCAGGAACGTCAGTGATGATTCCAAATTCTTGGTATGATATGATATGAGATGATATGATATGATATGGTATGATATGATATGATGTCATCTGATGACGACGAGGTCGGTGGCGAAATCATACAAGGCTACTGGCGAGTGAAGGCCTTGTCGACTGAAACTACCACCATGGCTTCTTTCAAATGTCATGTAGAAACTTGATTAGGGATCCCCAAATCCTGTCTCCCCTACAACCGGGTCCCTCCAAAGGGTACACTGCCTTGGAGTACGGCGCCCATTGAGTGTTTGCCCTTTTGGAGCCTAAGAGGCTGACTCTCGGGACCTGAGCAGCGGCTCGGCTGCCGGCTCACGCCTGGACTTTGCCATCCCGCGGGAAGCGCTGGACCCTTAAACGCAGGGTGGCGCTGAAGATTAGATGACCTACAGTCTTAACTCCTTAAAAGGGGTTATATCCGGGATTACGCTATGGCTCATGTCCTGGCAAGACTTGGAATAACACTGCAATCAGGATCGCACCTTTTGTCAGAAGCTTCGCGCAAGCAACAGGCTGGATCCTGTGTTTGAATCTTGCAGCAACAATCCTTTTCAAGGAGATTTCATAGTGCTTTGTAGGCTTTGAGCGCATCATACCTCATGCGGAGCATGATATACAGTGTGGGGTAAGTTTCCGTATCTTCTGACAGGCCTGGAGCCTTTCGCAGTGCTGGCTCTGATCTTGACAGGCATCGACATCGGTGGAATGGATATCGCCTTCCCAGAAGGGAGCTCAGAATCTGAAGGCCAAACCCTAAACCCTAAACCCATCCCTATAACCGGCTTTAAAGGGGTTGAAGCCCTGAAACAACAGAGCTCAGAATCTGAAGGCAAGAATGCTTGGCTTTCATGACGTCATGCATGGCACCATAATGGCGCGAGGTGCGTTTCAATCAAGTTGAAAGAACCACCGAGCAATCTTGGAATTCAACTCAAGAAAAGCAAGGGCCCAGCTTATCTCTACAGATTAGGGTCGCAGGTTCAAGGTCAGACCATGTCAGACCTTTACCATGCCTCAAACCAATGGCATGTGGCAAAGGGCTCAGGGCTTAGCCCTCACCCTGCTAGGCTCGTGAATTTTGTTTGAACAGCCAAAGGGGCAACTGCGGCTGTCACGGCTTGGTTGTCTCTGATCATCAATTTGCTGCGAGTGCTTGCAGCCACATGCAGAGCAATGGTAGGATGTTCATGGCCCCTCAGAGCAACACACCTTGCTGTTGCGTATTTGGTGCTTCAGGGCCGGTGGTCTTCGAAGTGTCGCCGATCTTCGACCTCAATCCTGAGCCGCCCGAGGAGCCTACAATGAGATGCATATGGGGGTTTCCCAAAATTAGGGGTACCTTTTTGGGGTCCCCATAATAAGGATCATAGTATTTTTGGGGTCTATATTGGGGTTCCCCTTACTTTGGGAAACTTCCATATCTCCTCAGCGGGCCATTCCAGCTAGCCCCAGCATTGTGTGGCGGTAGGAGTGGCGAAGCATGCCGTACCGGGAGTGGCGGCCCCGGACAGATCAGAATGTGTAAATCCCCATCAGCACTGCTGCTGCCTAATGGAGGACGCTTTTGAGCTTATTGGTTTTCCTTGGATTGGTAGGATGCCCAAGCTTGCGATTCAACTCAACTGATTGCAGAGTCAAATGCAAGCGCCGTCCTTACCTGCAATTCAAAGCGATCTCGAAGACTGCACCGTGGGAGCTCTTGAGGTACAAGCAAACGGCAGACTACAAAGCGAGGTCAGTCCGCTCTGTCGTTTGCGGATTGTTGGTCGAAAAGGATCGAAGGATGCAGGTTCCAAATTCTACAGCAAGGTATGAGCTCTCGTTTCTTCGGGGGGCTGAAGTAGACTGATGCCTGTCTCCTGGGCAGCTTGTTTGGCTGCTCGGGTAGTTTATGAAGCCATAAGAAGGCCCGAAGCCGGTGCGCAGAACCTAGATGATGCGAAGAGTCCAGCCCAGGGTTTGGAGCGAAGCACATGTTTTTCTGAAGAACGCGACGCAACGCGTGTCTTGCAGGCGTGCCGAGAATTATGCGGAGTGTGCTCAGAAGGCAGCCGATTTACTTTCAGTGCTGCCATGAGTGCAGGAAGCATTCTTCAGGCCTCTGCAAGAGAAGGGGCAGAGGTGTCCAGGCTGTTCTGCACGACTGCCTGATGACAGGTGGTGGAGTACGCCCTTCATCGCAGGGGAAAGCTGTTTGTGGACATTGACAACACCGTTCAAGTCCTGGACTTCTTGATGATTTCGGGCTTGTAGGGCATAGATAGCTTAGCAAAGGTGTCAGGCAGCGGTTATGTAGTCTGTGAAAACACGGTGCAACAAAGTTCATGCTTTAGATCCTTTGAGGTAAGCGATGCGTGGAATCGGATACAGCGCGCGATGCTGGCACGCTTGTGGAATCTCGACACAGCCTTCATTGGCTGAGATGAGCTTAGTAAATTGGGTATTCACATGCCACAGCTTTTATGTGCACGACCGGCGCATACCAAACATTGCTAAGCAAATTGTTGAAGCCAGAAGCTGAGCTTTGCTGGTGCTGGTGATGATTGTGACAAGGAAATGACGATGTTGAGGATATCATGTTACCGATGCCAGTGATGACGCTCATGATGGTGGTTGTGGTACGCTGTGGTGGTGTTGATAGCAATGAGGCTGGGCATATCTGGGCACCCTCCGCCACTTTGCTGTGCTACTGCCCAACACATTTCGGCATGAAATCAACGACATATCAGGCAACCATACCTAGCTGGCCTGGCGAGACGTTTGATTCTCGGGCGCACCTGCCAGAGGAGCCGGGCTTCGTCACATCATCATTCTCCTATTCTCTTAGCTTTCCTATTGTCAGCACTAACATGGTCATGGTGATTCCGTAGAGAGATTTCCAGTAGGACGGAGCTTTGGGTTAATTGGCCAGGGTCCTCCAGTGAAATGCCCTTAGCTTCCAGTTGATGTTTGCTTGCCTTGGCCTGAAGCGTGCCATGGAATCTCAAGAGAGTCAGTACCATACATACCACCTGAATCTCTAGTGCAAGGGCCTAGAGGTATTCCTTAATGTTGCACAGATTTGCTTGCTACAGCCGTGACTGCAGAATTCAGAAAAAATGAGAATGTGCATGAACCTCCCACCTGGAACCCAGATCAGATTGCTTCATTCGCCCAATCTGGAGTTCAAACAAGCAGGGGGTCCTGCCGAAAGGAGTTGGCCAAAGATTTGCCACTACCAGGCACAGTGTTTTTGCATCAGGGCAAAGAGCATCCTGCCAGTCTCGATTTGTTGTGTTCCGCTCACATTATGGGGGTTTGCCAAAATTAGGGCTACCATATTTGGGGTCCCTATAACAAGGATTACAGTATATTGGGGTCTATATCGGGGTACCCCTATTTTGGGAAACTACCTTATGCCTTATGCCAGTAAGGACACTCGCTTCCCTTCTGCCTTGTGATCATGAGGAAAGAGCAGTTTCAACATGAGCTGTGGTCTAAGCTCCTTAAAGGGGTTTTCGGGACTATATAAGGGAGCATTATGGGGGTTACTAGGAGTTTAAACTCTGGCTCACGTGGCATGATCTCTGTGTGCATATTTTGCCCGAAGCCCTAAACCCTAAACACTACATAACCCCTAAACCCTTTCTTTCTCCCCCCAAACCCTAAACCCTCAATGGTACCCCCAATTTTGGGAAACCCTAACCCTAAACCCCAAATAGTACTTCCCTTTTCTTTTTCCATAACTCCTATATAAACCCTATGTAAGCCCTATAAACCCCTTTAAAGCGTACCCTTAAATTTTGCTCTTCAGGTGCCCAAAAGGCCTTAGCCTCCATGACGCGCGAGTGGGAAATTACATATCTCTCAGTCAGGCACCCGGTTCTGAGACTTGGGATTTAGGGTTTAGGGTTTTCAGAGGAGGACCTTTAAAGGGTGTATAGGGGATATACAGGGATATTATTGGGATTCATAAGGTTGAGGGTTTCCCAATCTGAGGATTTCAAAGGGTTTCTAGGGGTTATAATACAGGGATATTGTAGGGATTTGTTATAGGGCTTAGGGTTTCTCAAATTTGGGGGTACCTTTTCAATTTTTGGGGTCCCCATAATAAGGATTAAGATCTTTTTGGGACTACATCATGACCGGTCTGCCTGTTTATTAAAAGCAGGATTCTTGTAACTTGTCATCATGCATATACCATAATACTTACCATAATATAATAATATATTGTAATATATTACAATATATTACAATATACTATAATGTATAATATGCTATAATATTGGTAACTATGTAGGTCCCTATATTAACTACCAAAGGCTGGTTTGCTTGGGGTGTGCACTTCACAGGCCCGGGGCGCTCCCGGCGCTTTTGAAGCCACGCTGCAATGGCTGGTCACTGGGCAATATGTCATCAAAGCATTTCAGATCGCATGGTCGCAAGCTCCGGTTTTTTCAACAAAGTTAGGAGTTTCTTGGGAGATTAGATAGTTTTTTGACTGCAACTCCAAATCCCAGCTCATGCCCGCCATTTCTAAGGCAGCACATGGCTTCCCCAACTCAGGGCGCCTGCTCTTGGTTTGGGCCTTGAAAGCAGGCAGCAGAGATTGACTAGTACTACCAACCACTTCCAACGTCATGGCCCTAGGTGAGCTCAGCATTGGACAAGATCGCTTGGCTTCAGGACTTGCAGCTTCACATCTGCCCACAGAGGGGTTGCAGTCCACGATGTGCAGTCTGAGCGCCTGGATCGTCACACCTTTGCCTCCTGATAAAGACGGCCCTGTTGAAGCAGGATGCGGTCAGTTTGGATCCTCATCATCGGCCTGTTCTTCTCGCTTCTAACTCAAGTGCTTGTGACATGATGGGAGCACTTCATGCAAAGCAGGTGAATGAAGTCAGTCGAAGCTAGGCTACCTGCCTTCCGGCTCTACAACCTGTTTCTAGGCATATCAACACCCGCACAAACAAGCTTAGCCCGCTGAGGTCGATGACCTAACTCGAGGACGGGCAACTGCTTGAGGGTCAGCGTCTTCCTCTCACTACCATGTCTACTATCAATATATAGAGTAGTTAAAGCTGTTCTTGCTATAATTTGTACTATGGCAATTATGGCTGTCGTGATTGTTCACAAAGGTTTTCACATCCAGTCTCCTGCAGGCCACCATCTTGCTCAGCCTCTCCCAGACGAGAAGATGCGGGCTGCACTGCAAGCCCTCCGCCTTGAGCATGAGGCGGCTTCACGCGTACCAAGTTAATCAGTACTGACGAAGTAATACTAAAAGAGTAATAGTACTAGTAATAGTACTCGTAACAGGCATAGGAATAGTAATAGTAAAGGCAAAAGTAAAAGCAATAAATAGCAATAGTAGTAGGAATAGTAATGATACATTTGTGACGCTGCTATGGCATCAAGGTGGATTCTTGCCCGCATGGAAAGTCATAGTTTCTCTAAATAGGGGGACCCCAATATAGACCCCGTATATAATAGACTTTAGTATGGGGACGCCCCACAGTGGTACCCTAATCTTGGGAAACCCTAAACCTAAACCCTATCAATTCATGTAATGTCCTTGTATAACTTTTATATATCCCCTTTTAAACCCTTCAAAGGTACCGCGAATCTTGTGAAACCCTGAAGTCTCTGTGCAGGTCTTCGATCCTAAGACAATCGTTTGGGCCCAGTTTGCGGAGCGGCTGCTGGCCAGGGCCATATGCTTAGCGTATCGTTTGGGCTGGCAGTGGGGGTTGTATAGGGATACTGGGAAAAAAGGTGGATACTACTATAAAGGGTTTAGGGTTCAGGCTCCTGATGAACCTTTGCAAAGGAGACAGGCTGGGTTGACGGATCCTTTTGAGGAGCCCAAGAGTGCATTGCTCAAATATGTGAGTATATTCTCGGAAGAACAGACTTTGAGGGTGCGGTGCTTAGAGAAGACCCAGCAAGCTACACCAGGACGCCTAGACTACGTTATACCGTTATACCTTATGAGATACCATGAATTTGCGGATGACAGGCTGCATTGCATACCCAGGCTCTGCAGCTGCGTTCTGCTTCGAGACGCCCAGCTGCGCCTACCGTTCTTTGCTACGACTAAGCTGCGCTGGCCACCTGAGGGGTGTTCTCAAAACCATGGGTCCCTGAAGGCTTGCTTTGGGGCAACATAGAGATGATGGAAAAGAAAATAGAAACTTCTATTCTGGGTTTAGGGAGTAGGGTTTTGGAGAAACTCCTGTGGGTGGTACAAAATGGTACAAATGGGAACGCTAGATTTTGAGAAACGCCCGAGTGATCGCAGGACATTCGGGTCATCTTAGGCCCGAGCATTGCTTCGGAGAAAAGATGCCAAAGATGCTAAGCCATGAAACCGGGACTTGGAGACACCAGGCGCCTCTCGCTGCTCTTGCGCAACCCGAACCTTGGAACGTTGGACAACTTGCTAATGTTGTTCTGGCTTGTTGTGCCTTCCGTGGTCGTCATAACCTATGCCAATGCGCAGTAGGAGCATATCCCTGACAGCTTAGTCAAAACCCATGTCGCTTCTTGCTTGAGGCATCAGTGATATTAGGGGGCCCTTGAGTCTGCATACCCAATCTTGGTGCGGCGAGCGAGCGAGACCTGCCAGACATGACTGGCCGGAAGACGGGAGCCGGCCTGTCATCAAACTCTCAGGAGTGATTGTTATTCGGTTTGTCCCAGACTGGAAGCTGCACCCGGCATTCTACAGACCAGCTTGGCAATCTAACCATGGATTGTGGTAAATGCTGTGCCCTTGCCACTGTGGCTCCTAGTTGCGGGGGGCTGCATGGATTTGCCAAAGATCGCTCGCCGCTGCTCCAGGAGCCGAGGCAGGCATTGTTATTGCTACATTGGTGTGTTCTGCAAACGGGGTTTGTCTAAATTCACTATAATATGAGTCACTATATGTAGGTGGTTCCTAGCATCATACGGTTCCATATATAAATTTCCCCCATTTGGGGAAAGTAATCTAGGCCAAGTCCCAAATGCTAAAGAAGTACCGCCCTGTTCACCGAAGACCTTGCCGGCGCAGTCATGGATGATGATTCTCAACGCCTGGTTAGCACTTTCAGTTTTCGAGATTGCCTCCGGAACTTGCATCTTGCAGGATTATGGTACGACCGCCTGTGAAGATGTGAATTCCAGCTGCCTGCATCATCCCACTTTCAATTCTCTGTTCCAGTTGATTCTCCATCACTGGGTAATATCCCTGAATCTCTTATCGCTATGCGGTAGTTTTGAATTCATTTTCCATTCGATGTTCCATTTGATTCTCCATAAACCCAATAGGTCCCTCCTGTGCCAAATTTCATGCGGCTTTGGACAACTAGATGAAGCTCGGCCACCAACGAACGCGAGGCGAATATGGAGCCTCCCAAAAGAAAGCCGGGCTGCCCTCTGCAGTGGAGTTCTCAGTTGTGAGACAGATTTTGTCCGTTTAGCTGCTGTCCTGGATTGCCTGCGAGCTCCGACACTGGCACGGTCACTGCCACTGCTCACTAGCGCTGTCACCACCGTTGCTGCCACCGCCCCGGCCACGCCGCCGCATGCTGAAGCGCTGCTGCTGCTGCTGCTGCTGCTGCTGCTATCATTGTCACTACATTGCACGCCGCACGCTACCACTAAAACGCTGATGCAGCTAGGTTACTGGGTTACCATTAAAGGGACATGTGAGCCGAGGCTGGTCACCTTGAATATGGAAGAAAAGAAGTGCGAAGTCAACCAAGACGCGCGGCCTGCCTCAAACGTGGCTTCATCAGGGTTTGACCAACACTCGGCCTGCAGCAGATCCGAGGCTGGGCCGCCTAGAAAAAAGACTGAAAGAAGTGGGTGCCAAGAAGGTGCGCGGGCAGTGCACAGAAGCTGTTGGTTTCAGAGTCTTGCTGAAAGTACATGCATCATGCACCTTGCCTTTATGTCTATCATTGCGGCTCTGAAGGAGCATGATTTGCAGCATTCTTACCCGCTCAGCTATCTCTTAACCCAATGTCGCAAGTAAGCACTTACCCATTGCGTTCGCATTGATTGCCGAAGTCGACGTCGTGGAGATGCGCTTCATCAAGTGACTGCTTAGGTAGCTATCGTCTCAGTCATGGGCGCTTTCCGAACAGGAAAGCCGCACTCTCAGAAGGCGCAACATATCGCAACGCTTGGCAGCAAAAGCTAACTGAAACCATGACTGCACGGGGATGGGACCTCCATCCCATGCTCTCCATGGCTGCCATCATCATGTTTTTGCTTCGTATCATGTCATGCCAAGTCGGTGTGCTAGATGCATTTGGACAGCTTCTTGTTCAGAGGCTTGGTAGGAAGCTGAAATCTTGCTTTGCCTTGCCGCGCGTGTGCTTTGATTTGCCCCTGGATATACATGAGCTGCTGACAAAGATGCTCCGTGATAAGGTCCTTCCTGTTGGACTTGTTCCTCCGCTTCTTGAAGTGGGAGGTTCGACTTAGCTATGGTGGGAGGTTCATGGCAGATGGCCTTCAATTTGGCACCAGGCAGATCATCCCGAGGAGGCAGCAGCCGCGAGAAGCGCCAGCAGCCCCAGCTCCCTGCTGTGTTGTTCTGTACCGGATGCCAAGGTATCTTGTTCAGAGGAATCTGTTCCTTTGAGGTCGCACATGCCTGACAGTCATCTGTAAACATATTTTCGTGATTCTGCGGGCTTTGAAGACCTGGTCACATCAGCCCACATGTTGGACAGTGCGTGGTGAGCGTGCGGGGTGCGAAAGGCGGCGCAGCCTTCTCGGGGAGGTAACGAGGACGCTTGGATTCTGATTAGATCGTTTCAGATCATGGGTTCAGGCACGTCAGATTTGTCGCAGGCGTGAGTAGGCAGTCGCATGTCAAGAATCCACTCCTGCGAAGGATTTCCCATTGCCTGCCTGGGTCAAGACCTCAATCGAGACGTATTGCAGTACTCCTGGCATTCTGGTAGCTCGAGATGTGTTCACAAAGACAGCATTGGCAGGAAGCTACACCTGCATGTTGCTTTCAAGAACTGCCTTTGAGATCACAACCGCGGGCGCCAACATAGAGGGAGCCTCCGAAGATGACGAGGCCATCGGCACCTATGGATGCCTAACAGAGATCCATGCGCATTGGATATAATCTTGAACTTGGATGCTCCACCCCGCTCACTCCATGCTATTCCAGCAGTCACGGGGTCACCAGTGCCAGATGTGTAAAGATAAACCGTTTCTCATGAGTCTTGGCAGGGCATGTTGACCAAACCTGAAATCACCCACCACACCAGTAGACATGGTACAGTAGTCGTTTGGAGTCCTTGATGATGTCTTCGCTCCTGGAGGGCTTCCGGTTTAGGGGCGGCATGGACGCCTGCACCGAAGGCATATGGATCTGGCTTGCAACTCAGATCATGGCATTCATGATTATGTTTTTAGTAGGACGGGGGGGGGGTCTCTGGCTTGGCAGGACTTGTCTCCGGAACTAGTACCCTAAACCCTAAACCCTGAAACCAGGCATTTCGGCTAGCCAGTTGCA